GCACGTTTAAAAGTTATGATTGCAAAATGGGAAATAAAATCTAGTGTTAGGGTTAGCGTTAGTATGTAGCCCATTAACGCTCTGGACAAGAGCACTTATAATGTAATATATTGCATGAGAAGAAGAGAATCAGAAAGAAAGGTTTTGAAAATGGGTATTCCAATGTAAAGCGCATTGAGCTAATTTTTGGGAAATACGCTATATGAATGTTATATTATTATTATTATTATTATTATTATTATTTATTATTATTATTAATGCAAGCAAATCATTACTGTTTTGTTTCCTCAGATGCTAAAGATGTTATTCTTTTGTATTACCCTCACGCTAATTTCCTATCCACTTTTTGGTTTTTTGTTGTACATTTGACATTTTCCCTCCATTCATTCAAAAATGACGGAAAAGGACACCCACCGAAAAAGGTAATACCGTAATTTCACAAATGCGTTTGAAACATCTAAAACAAAGATGTACAAAAATACTTGCAATTGGTGTAATCATTCTAGATCTAGATCTATCAATGCTTGTTCAGAAAATATTTAAAATCCATGTGTCCTTTATAAAGAAACTGGGCACGAATGGCCCCAGTGCCCCAGTGTTTCGGCAATTGTTTACTTTCTCGCGTTTAATTCCGGCCGCGCCTAAACCCAGATCTAGATTCTAATCTAGATCTAGATCTAGATCTGGATTCTAGCTTCTTTTTTTTCTGTTCAATCTCAAGATCTAGATTTAGATATCTAGATCTAGATCTAGATTCTAGTGACAACGCTAGATCTACATTTCACAGTCTTACCTGATACAATTTTATTAACAAACAAAAAAAGCAGTGGCAGCTGTCACTGTCAGAAATGGAGCGACTTTGTGGGAAGTCGCACATACCTTCGCTTTTCAGGGCATTCCTCGCACTACGGTACTACTGTCTAAATCTAGATCTAGATCTAGATCTACCCTTCAACACAATGCGAAGAAAGCTCTTCATAAGATGATGTTGAATTGTGTCCAAACTATTGTTTTCAAATATTCACAGTAGGCAGGAGACTGAATTGACGCTGTAGGCCTACATATTGAAATGTGCCAAAAGATCCTATGGTTTGACAACTGCTATAACTGCAGAAAACTCGTCTATGAAGCCGCTGTTGCAAATCATCTAAGACCTTTCGTACACATCTTCGTGAGATGATGCAAAATGTGCCGGAAAGGAGTGGCAGATGGGCTTTCTTTGGAGACATCCGCAACTCAGTTTGCGACAACCAGAGGCAAAATCTACCTCATTGGCAAAAGCCACAGCTTTCAACAGACATTCTGTGGGAACATTTTTCAACTTGCTGCTCGCTCTTTCTAGATAGTGACCTCGCTTGGGGTCTCTGGAGCTCCTCCCCCCTCCCC